AAAACTCATATTCTCCATGCTTCCTCCCACTTGGCCTGCTGATGTAGTGCTCAGTGCACATGATGGATGGCTGAAAGATTTCCGTCTATGTCACTTTAGCTGGAAGCCCAGTGAGGAAGGCGATCTCAGGGATTTGCTGGAGATCCACTGGACACTGTCATTTTTCATCTAGCTATAGTCACATAGCCAGATGCTTCTCATCCATCCTCGGGTTTTATATAGCTGACAGCAATGTGTACAGGAGAACACAAGTGCTTCAGAAGTGGAGAAGTCATGTGGACATCATGCTTTAACTTTACACTGTCTCCTAATCTTAGCCAGTGCAATAAACAAATGTTAACTCTGTGAGTTTCCCAGCTAACTTTCTATGATGGCCAGCAGTCACATAAGCAACAAAGGAAGTAAGTAGGTCATCATTTGATGTTGTGCTCATCAACACATGATGTATGTGTTTATGCAAATCAGCCCCTTTAATGCTGATTTACATAATCTCCAAGATGTGTACTTTATCTTTGCCTTGAAACCAATAAAAGGAGAGCACCATGTACCTTGATGTCTGAAAGGTGACTGCTAGCAGTAATTAATAGCTGTGATTCTTTTATAGTATACCATACTCCCAATTAGATTTTATATTTCTGAACATAGGAATGAAAATTAATTATGTTTGTCCATGTCATATGACTGCCCTCTGCTGGGCAGCATCTGTCTCTTTTATGATTTCTTCAATCATAAAAAAACAAGCTTTTGGAAATGTAATGAATAATAATAAGAGATAAAGGGGGTAGAATTGAAAGGGGGTTGATTTTAATCTATATTAATATCCATAAATCCTTATCCCTGTGCAAAGCTTTGAACAGTTGCTTGGGGGGTTAGGGAAGCACAGTTCTTACAAGCTAGAATCGTACTGGTGACATATGCAGGCATATCCTGCTTCCATTAAACTTCTGTATATTTTAGGGACACTGTGAAGGAGTAATGCAACACCCCTTTCACTAAGTGTGCAGTAGCACTTGGGAGTTCATGGTTGCATAAGTGTCCTCTCCACCTCCAGTCAATTCCAGAGATGTAAAGTAACTGTTACAGATTCCTCACTTATTCAGGCGCACTCTTTTGATCTCAATATTCATCTTCCTAATGCTGCTGGATTTTGAGCTTGACAAATTTGTGTTACACAAGTAAATACAGCAACAGTTTTTGAGTAGGCCAGAAAATATAAAATAGTTTTCTGCAGGGTGTCACTACTGAATTTGCAAAATATAGCCGCTTTCAGAAAAGTAAAGTACTGGAGGTTGCGTTTTGAGGAACTTAATTTGTAATTACAAGTCATGCTTCATGTTCTTGCTCCCAGCTAGGAAACACATGAAAAGGAGATAAACTTGGGATTATTAGAAGGTTGTTGTTTTTTTTTTTTAAAAAAAAATTACTATCACATTAACCTTCACCCCCCCCCCCAAGATATTCAATATAACCCTCATTGTGGTGTATTTTGTAATTTAATTTTTAATATTGTAATAAATTAAAAATAGAAATTAATATTCTGCTTTTTCACCTGCATTCCCACAGCAAGTCAAAACAGCTCATAAAATTCAACAGCAGCAGGAATGTGATGCCATTTTTGCTTATACAGTGTTCCCTCACTTATTACTGGGATACTCTATTTATTTTAACATTTATACATTATTTTAGTAGTTATACACTACTACTAATAGCTGATACCTGATGTCACATGGACAAGAAAACAATGTCATGACAAGATACATTGTCACTTTATTACTTTGAGGCTAGGAGCCCCTGGTGGCGCAATGGGTTAAACTCTTTTGCTGGCAGGACTGCTGTCTGAAAGGCCGACAGTTTGAATCCAGGAAGCGGAATGAGCTCCCTCTGTCAGCTCCAGCTTCTCATGAGGGAACATGAGAGAAGCCTCCCTCAAGATGGGAAAACATCTGGGCATTCCCTGGGCAATGTCCTTGCAGACGGCCAATTCTCTCACACCAGAAGCAACTTGCAGTTTCTCAAGTCGCCCCTGACACAAATACACACACACATATACACACGCAAAACTGTGAAGTTGCTCAGATTTTGAGATATATCCACCCCTTTCAACATCTGTCATTTCTTTTTTTATTAAATACTTTTTATTAAATATATTTTCTCTTTAATTATACATAAAAACAGAATAAGGGTATAGGCTGGTATTGGGCCGAATGTATACATAGAAATTTTATAAATACTTTTTATTAAATATATTTTCTCTTTAATTATACATAAAAACAGAATAAGGGTATAGGCTGGTATTGGGCCGAATGTATACATAGAAATTTTATACAGGGGTGGGGAGGGGAGTTTCCAAAAGTAAAAAAAAGGGGGGGGGGGTGTAGAGGGTGCAGGGAGGGGAGGGAGGGGAGGGGAAATCACATCAACTTCCAATCTTCTTCTCCACATATCCACTGCCGATCTGTTCCATTTTACCTTTAATATGTCTTCCCTTTCCACTTATATCGTGATCTTGATGTTTCCTTTCTCCTCTTTTCTTTCTCTTCTATACTGCTTTCATGTGTCATACTCTTCCTTTCTTTTTATTAGTTTTTTTTGTCTATTTTCTTCGGTGAAGTAGTCATCTACTATTTTCCAGTTTGTCTTTATGATCGGTCTTCCATAAGATTCTTTTAAGGCAAACGTTATTTTATCCGCATCTTTAATTTCTTGAATTTTATTTAGCCATTCTTCTTTCATTGCGAGTTCACTTTGTTTCCATTTTTTTTGCTATTACCATTCTAGCGGCAGTAGAGAGGTATGTAAATAAAATGTCCTTGTTTCAGTCCCTTTCAACTTCTTCATCTGTTGTCCCAACAGAAAGTATTCCAGTTTCAGCTGGATCTTTATTCTCAATATTTTCTCGCATGTCTCTTGTACCATCTTCCAAAAGGTTTTCACTTTGGGGCATGTCCACCAGGCGTGGAAGAATGTTCCGACCTGCATATCGCATTTCCAGCATTTGTTCTGGGTATTTCTGTACATTACGCTTAGTTTTTGAGGGGTCATGTACCATCTAAAGAACGTCTTAATCAAGTTCTCCTTTAAATCTGTCGAGTAGTTGTATTTGATCTTTTTAGTCCACAGCTTCTCCCATTCATTCAGTTTTATCGCTCTTCCAATATTTGATGCCCATTTGATCATGCATTCTTTAACTAGCTCTGTCTCCGTAGTCCAGTCCAGCAGCTTGTTATAAATCTTGGTTATATTTTTTTTCTTTCAATATGATTCTATCTTGAAAGTCGTCTTTTTCCGTGAAACCTATTTCTCTATCTTTCTTGTAGTATTCCTTTGGTTGTATGAACTGGAACCATGAGACTGTGTTAAATTTTTGGGCAATTTCTTCCCTTGTTTTCAGTTGTAGTGAACACTCTTTTTTTGATTAAGATGTCTTTATAGGTGGGCCACTTTGGCCATCCTAATAGTCTTCTCTGTCCCGCCTCGAGGGGGGAAATCCACAAAGGAGTCTTTGGGTAAAGTTTAGCCTTATATCTGGCCCATATTTTCATTAGTGCAGATCTAACAAAGTGGTTGTTAAAAAAAATTCCCTTTTAATTTGGTCGTACCAGAGATATGCGTGCCAACCAATTCTCAGGTCAAAGCCCTCTAATTCCAGTATTCTTTCCTTTCTTAATAACATCCAAACTTTTATCCAGCTTAGACCGTACACTTCGTAATAAAGTTTAAGATCTGGTAGGCCTAACCCTCCTCTATTCTTCTTGTCCGTCAGGTATCTATACTTTGTATACTATCTATACTTTGTATACTATCTATATATCTGTCATTTCTTGAAACTGTAAAGTATAGAAATTTATTTCGATATTTTTGTACCATCTTTTAAAAGCATCTCCCGTACAAATGAGGAAACAATACAAAAAAAAATCAGTAAACAGCACAACATAAGAATAAACTAGACAAATTATGGCCACAAAAATAATTAAAAAACCCCTTATGGAAATGAAATATTTTAGAAATATGTCCAAAAATGGAGAGAAAGCAGGTTCATACTTGATTTATATTAAGCATTTCCTCTATAAGTTGTTATCATTTGTTCTTTCCCATGTAAAAACTGTAGTTTGTACAACACAGGTATCCATTTATGCCTGTATCTTTATTCCTTTTAAGCTGCATGGCATGGACATAAGCAACATTATTCCAAGTAAGAAAATGAACCCTAAAATATGTCCCTAAGGTTTATCTCTTATGCTCCAAAGTGCATTTCTGTTACAAAAGTGGGACAGTAGAGCAGTTAATGCATGCCATTTTTTATTTTTTGATGTCAAGGCAAGTTGCAATATTGGTCCCATCCAATAAACATGTGTGCTGAGTGGGATTTTAATTCTCCCAATTTCCTTTGGGCTTTTCTTCTTACTGATTCATAATCTCATTTCCCATGATTCACTATCTCACTTCCCATGATTCATTAATGCGTGTCCTGTTTTAATGCTATCTTCCCTGGAGAAAGGAACCGTCTACAAGCAATGTAAGAAGACTGGGGAACCAATACTAATGTGCTTTCTATTTCACCCTTGACAGCGTAGTTTACTTTGAAATTCTTCAGGGTGAAATACGCCCATGTGAAATGGATGGAGGGATATATGGTCGACAAAAAAGAAAAACTCAGGAGACTAAATATTCCACTGTAATATTTCAGGAAACACAGGAAAACATTTAGTTGTAAACTTTGCACAGCAGTACCCAAAAGTAGAGTAGCACCTCTATGTCGGCAGAAACAGACTTCTGTATACATCACACGAAGAACTCTTATGAAGTTAGCCATTGTGAGCTGTTCCCATTGAGTTCTTTTCCAAGAAAAGAAAAAGAAAAATGGGCCTTAATTTTATAAATCTAATTATTTTTAGTTTGAAAATATTTTTTATAACTTAAGTTTTCATTGAACAGCAGTACTGCAATCAGAACATTCTTCATTGTGAGCTTTGTTGCAGACTGAATGTGGTGCATACTACATACAACCTAAGGCTGATTTTCAGCAATCCTAGGGACTTCATGACCTTCAGCACTGGAGGCAAAAAACCCCACCCAAATCCAGGTTCTTCCCATTTTGATAGAAGTGCAAAAGGGAAACCTAATGCAGAGAAATCATCAATAGTGTGGTCCCAGAGACTTTGAAGAGCTATGATGAGTTTTAGATGAAATGTTTTTACATATATACACACATACCCCTCCCCCCACGAGATGATAATATGGCTCTTCAGCACCTTGGGTAGGTACCGAAATTCTTGTAATTCCCAACAATTCCCCATCCTGTTGAAGAGAGTTACTGCTTAAACTGAGTATTTTCCAAATGGTTACTTATATGAATTCATAAACAGTGCAATTTTTTATTTAGATATCAATCCTACTGTGTTCAATGGGATTGCAGCAAAGACTTGTTAATCTCATGCTTTGTGTTTACAAATCATTCTTTGTCATTCTGGAGGATAATCACATTGTCCTCATCCAAGGCGTTGTCAAACCCAGCAGCATTTTGTTGTTGTTTTCTTTGTCTTTTGTAGAAAATATAGGCTGCAATGCCTGCACCAGCGAGGATCAGCATAACTAGGAAAACAACTATCACAGTTGTGCCATGTGGTTGTGCAGGAACCTCTGATTGTTCTATGAATGAAAAAAAAATTACATTCAAACCATTAAATATCTAATATAATTGTAAAATGCTGACCTCTTTATATCACAGGTGAAAAACCTTTTCCCAGACGGATTAGCTATGATACAGTATTTGGTGTACTTCAATGTGTGCACCAAAAGTTTAAACCCATACACATCATCATAATTGGTGAAGGCAAAGAGATCACAACCTGCACATATAAAGGGGAAGATCTGGTACTGCTTGAAATATACACAGATTGCCCTTGGGGTTTAGTAGGTTCGGGTTGTGAAAGAATCTAGTACCAAAAATGTTGACTGATGCAGTGCAGCTGAACAATGATGATGATGATGATGATGATGATGATGATGACACTCTTTCACTATTAAAAGTGAACAATACAATATACCAGGGCTTTTTCTACTTATGACTGCTTTCCCCCCATGAAATTTTTATGCAAACCCAGATGTCTAGATATATCAAATAGATATAAAAATTTTACAAAATCTGATAATAAATCTGCATTTGCAAGTCTTGCTAATCAGGACATTTTTTGTTTTTTGTGGAATACAGCTAAAGCATTTTCTGCAGAGTTCACTGTAAACACTGCATCTTGTTGCTAGCAGATTTGTGTAAATGGGTGGCAATCAGAAACCTGCTACTGTTGCCAAACTTTTCATGACCCCAACACTGAGCTTAGGAGCAGTGCAATATACAACTTAAAACCTAAAACATATAAACACCAAAACAGAATTAAACCAGGGACTACTACAAAAGGTCCAATCCATTAAAAAAACAATGAAATCCATAAAAAAATTCACACAAACCACAAATGTCCTCAAATCAAAAGCGTTTCTGTCTCCATTCTCCTAGTTATCACTTCTTCATTTATTAGAACACGGTATGTCAATTTTGAGCATAAAAATTAAGATGGGTATCTTCTCTTTTTACTTTCTTTTCAGCTTTTCCCATAAACCATAGACTTTTTTTTCATGCAACGAAACCTCCTTTCTATTGTGAGTGGCATGAATCTTACAATGTTGATCATTTGAACTGGACTGTTTTTAATAAATGGTCTTACCTTTATTTTTTATAGGCTGGTTAGTTGGTTCACTAAGAACTGTAAAATAATAAGAAAAGGAATCATATTGCACTTAAGCTATCTTGCAGCAAAGTACACAGTTGTGAGAAATTTCTAAAACAAATATTCCCAGTATAATAAAGGGAGAATAAAAGCACGAGGCCACTGTTTTCTTAAAATTCAAAATTGTGATCACTAGTTTCCACTAAGAATCATCTTTTGAGTTTAGTGCTCATCAAAGGTTAATAAATGAGCCTATGCTTTGAATACACATATGGGATTGACAAACTAAAGACTTATCTTTAAAATACAAAAATCTAAAAAATATTTTAAATCCCAGTTCCTCTTGGATCTTTTGCCTGTCTGGAACCACCCTTAGAGGAACTGGGATTTTAAATCCCAGTTTCTCTCAGGACAGAGGCCACACAGCTGACCTAAACCCCAGGGTTTTCCAGCCCCCCCTCCCCCATTTCTCCCTGCTCTTGGTGGGAGAAGACTCCATTCCAACAAGACCTGAAGCCTTTCTCCCTCGCTCCCTCTTCCCTTGGAAGAGCTGAAAGAGGGCTTTGGGTAGGGTACGGGGGATTTCTTCTCCAAGGCCCTCTGTTTGATCTTCCAGGGAGGAGTGAGAGAGCCAAAGGCTTCAGGTTTGGTTCTGATCAAGGCTCCGGTAAGTTTGGGGGGGGGGGAGGAGCCAGGGAGGGAATCCAGATGGGGGGAGGGAAGGAAAAAGCATGTTTCTGGGAATGCAGGGTCACGCACACACAGGAAGATGCAGTTCTTTAGGCCACAAATGGGATAAATGGGGAACTTTTTATTCTGAGGTTTCCCTCCTTTGTAGCGATTCCTCCCATGTTTTCAGAGAACGTCATTTGGCCACCTTCTAGTTTCTAGGTGTCATTATCCTTGTTCTTTGGGGTCTAAAAGGGTTCTTATGCCTTCATCATCACCTCTCCCCACCAAAAATATCCTTACGTAATGTTCCACTCACATGGTGCTTGGAAACACATGAAGCATCAATAACCAATTATTTCCTAATACAGGGAGAGTGATAGCTTTAACCATTACCCTTTCATTTAAACTAGTGGTTCCCAACCTTTTTTTAAGCCAAGGCCCACTTGTACCAGGGCCCAATTTGCGCAGGGACCACTTGACCAGAGACCACTTTGATCAGGGAACATTTTGATCAGGGACCACACTCCAACATTAATACCCAAAGGGGCAGGGCTCTGCAGAAAGGAGCAGAAATAAAATAAATAAAATAAATAAAGAGGAAGGTGGTTTGCAGACCAGATTTTCATTCTCGTGGCCCACTGCTGTGCCGTGGCCCACAGGTTGAGAACCACTGATTTAAACTGAAGGATTTTGACTTCCTAGTTGAGGAATTTGTCTTTTTTTGAACTGTTGGAAAACATATGCCAAAAAAGCACAGCTGTAAACGATCTGGAACCATGAGAACAATAAAGCTAACAGCCAACAGGCTTAGATCAGTTTTAAAGGAGAACTATTGTTCAGAGGAGAACAGGGGCAATTCTAGTGTGAACTCTAAGGAGACCACACCATTTGAAAAAGGAGAAATTGCCATTTCAGGTTGTCATTTCAAGAGACAGGACATGCATATTACAAAGCATGATTCAGTAATTAACCTCACAAGTGTTTTGGTGCACTGCTCTAAGTTTTCCAACAGTAGATATATGCCATGATTCCACCAAAACAGAGGCTGAATCTACACTGACCAATAATGCAGTTTGACCCATATAATGCAATTCAGTGCCGTTCAAACCGCATTATATGGCAGTGTAGATCCAGCCATAAAAGAACAATGAGAGTGAGAAAACCACATTTTTGATTTCATATTTGCTACTTTATACTGTTCTCTGAGGCAAAAGGCAGAAGTAAAATCTCAAATATTTAAAATGTGGTAGGAATGCAACTCAGCAAAAACAAAAGGAAATAAAAGGGTAGTTCGAGAGAAAAAATTATTTCCTTTAGGTGAAATAACACAAAATACCATTGTCAATTGTAATTGTTGTTGGAGTCCCTGTAGGAATTATTATATAAATGAAAGCTAAGATTTCCCTAAGTGGTCCACTGTTAAATGGGACACACCTTACCCCTGTGTTCACCAGTCATTATGCTCATGTTGCTGCCATCACAATTCTCAGTCAATACTACAGAACCTAATTGATGATATTCTGAATGATTGAACCTTCTTTATTTTTCAACTGTTACTTCCATTGCTTTTTTCCTCCACCACAGAAAATCAATAGAGGATAAGAAGGTAAAACAGCCACACCGTAATTTCTATCTACTAGTTTAAAGTGCCTTCATCTGGCTATGCCCTAATTTCATATACCAGTTCAAGTCTAATGTCCAACAGGTTACTGCATTGTGTCAGTTATTACTAAATTCAGTACATAAAAATGTAAGACTTACTCTTTGGTATTTTACAGATAAATCCCTTCTCTTCATACTTGCAGCCTTCACCATCCCATTCTCCATTGTAGCTACTCATAAAAATGCATTGATCCAGAAAAAAAGTATATTCGCCTTCCAGATAACTAGAGAAGACTGAAATTTCCGGCCTAGGTGGTCCATTTTTCCAGTTTACAAAATCCAATTCGGTGTTATCTAGCCAAATCCATTCTCCTAATTATAAAAAAGAATGACCAAAAAGGAAAATGAAATCACATTAGTTGTAAATGGATATTGACAATTATTTTTAAATTATACATCAACATATTTCTTCTCATGTTTTTATTGTGGGCAATGTGTGTTGTGTTTGTGTATGTGTATGTTTGTAAGGAAGACAGGGAGATCATCCACACTGCAGAATTATAGCTGTTTGACACCACTTTAACTGCCGAGACTCCATTTTCTAGAATTCTAGGATGTGTAGTTTGTTGTGGCATCAGAGTTGTGTGACAGAAAAGAGTTCTCACAAAAGTGAGGATTCCTCAACAGACATGCACCTAATGCAATTTTAATTTAAATGTTTATTTTAATTGTATATTGTTTTTTAAGGCACTGAATTATTGCCTGTGTTGTAAGCCATCTTGAGTCCCCTTCGGGGTTGAAAAAGGTGGGATATAAATATAGTAAATAAATGAATGGTGTACATACTTTGCAATGAAACTTATGTTGGCTGCTATGGAGAATGTGCTTATGTGAACTGACCAGATTTATTTTGAGCATCCTTTTGTATAAGTCAACTAATTATGTTAATAGTTTTTTTGCAAACATTTTTAATGGTAGTTTTCTCCCATTAGATCTAAAACTGTCCTGATGTCTGTGGATAGATTTAGGAGGCAGAATAATCACTGAAATGGCTTGTGCTAGAAAATAGAGAAACCTTTACAGTGACCCAAACTGCAAGTGGCAGTGTGGTAAAATTGGTTTATGTGTCATCAACACCACTACTACTGTGGCAATATTAAGAGGCAAGATAGAACTTTTAAAAATAAATGAGGTTTCCTTTGAATATTTGGTGAGAAACCAAGACTAAACTGGAGTAAAATTGCTAGCAAAATTCTATTAACAAAATGTGCATCACATTTTAACATTTGTTGGCACAGATAAATATTGAAATGTGAAATGTTTTTTTTAAATAAATAATTTTAATTTTAATTACCATCCACATTTTTAAATAACCCTATCCAAAAGGTCGTAGTAGAGAGAAATTCGGTGTGTTCCAGCAAAAAATTCATTTCAGCTGCATTTTCTATGGAAGCCAAAGTGCCACCTGAGAAAGAGCAAAAGAAGTTATTTATTCATATTTTTAAATTAAAAGACATTTTTAAAATAAAAATCTCCAAAAGTCCTTTTAAGATGATCCTAAAATTATATAGAGTTTGAAGAGACAACAAAGATCATCTGGTTCAATCACTTGCTGCTCAGGAATACATCAGGTGGATGTCCAGCCATATATTCCTGTAATATTTTAAACATAAATAAATAATAAAATAATTTCTTTTATTACTCACAAAATATCACACATTATCCTTGTTAATGTCTAAAAGGGCTCTTATGCCCTCATCATCACCCCACCCCACCAAAGAAAATCCTTATGTAATCTGCTCAGGTGGTGTTTGGAAAGACATGGAGCAGCAATAAGCAATTATACAGGGCAAATAAACAGAAAGCACTCCAAGCATGTCTACATTCCAGAGAAACTAATGAAAAAAACAGAACAAATATTTATCCATTCCAGAGCCCTGCCTATCTTCGTGACCGCATCCCCCCTATGAACTGGCGTGGGCTTTAAGATCTGCTGGGAAGGCCCTTTTCTCGGTCCCACCACCATCTCAAGTCATTGGTTGATGAACGCAATTTTACTGAGTCTTAGTTGTTGTTTTTTTATGCCTATATGTTTTACTTTATTGTATTTTATATTGCATTTTTAATTTTCTGTTTTTAGACACTTTGTGCTGTGTATAAGCCACACCAACTCCCTTTGTGCTGTGTATAAGCCGTACCACCACCACCAACAAAGTTGTTGTTGTTGTTGTTGTTGTTGTTATCATCATCATTATTGTTATATCATCTATCATGAATAATTTAGCTCTAATAGGACTTGGAGGCATTGTTTTGTTATGATTCAGGTCTCTTCCGGTTGAACCAGTAAACTGTCATTCATTGTTATGGCCATCAGACTATGAAATTCCTTGCTATTGTCCACTAAGTTTTCGATATTTACATGAAACCAGTGGAATGATTTGTCCAGAATTTTTGTGCTAAATTTCTTCAAGATGATGACAAATACCCATGTATATTACTCCAGTTATTGAATCTCTGTCCAGAAAAAAATGAATGAGGGATTAAGCGTGGATGAACAAGTTGAAGCACCGTCTAGACAAGACAGAAATTTTTTTGATTATTAAAAAACACAAGATGGAATTGGGATTGCAGCCTGTTCTGGAGGTTTGTTGTATGGGGTTGCTCTCTGTTTGGAAGATCTTGGTGTTTTTTGTTTTGTTTTGTTTAAATCACATTTATTGGAGTCCTTGTGTGCCTTCCAGTCATTTCTTTAGGGTGATCCTATTATGGGCTTTTCTTGGCAAGAGTTATTCAGAGGGGGTTTGCCTTTGCCTTCCTCTGAGGCTGAGAGAGTTAATTCAAGATAACGCAACAAATTACCATGGCTAACCAGGGATTCAAAGCATGGTCTCTCGGGCCCTTTCTTATTTATTTAAAGCATTTATATTCCACCCTTCTCACTTGGAAGGGGACTCAGAGCGGAGCACAACATAAATATGGCAACATTCAATGCCAGAATAAAAACAAACTATAAATATACATAAACATTAAAAGCAGTTGTATACACTTTAAAATCAAATTGTTAAAAAAACATCTCAAATCACCCATACTAGATTATTACCTTATTGCATTGTCCCAAAGGCTTGGTCCCACAGCCATGTTTTTACCATCTTTCTGAAGGCCAGGAGGGAGGGGGCTGATCCAATCTCGCCAGGGAGGAAGTTCCATAGCTGAGGGGCAATCACTGAGAAGGACCTCTCTCTTGTCTCCCCCAATCACACCTGTGATGGTGGCAGAACCAAGAGCAGGGCCTCCTCGGAGGTTCTTAGTCTCTGCGGTAATTCATAAAGGGAACCACCATATAAACCACTTCCATATAAAATCCAGATTATCAGGTTTGATAACATGAATTATATGGCAGTGTAGAAGGACCCTCAGAGCCCTAGTCCAATGCTCAAACCAGCTCTCATCCTTGCTAAGTAGAAAAATAATAAATACACGTAGCGGATAAATAATAATATGAAGAATGCTTGCTATTTCTAAAGCAGAAGGAATAAAAATTAAATTATTCATATATCTGATAAGTGATGACATTGCTCAATTTGAAATAAGGGCTTCAAATTTCTTTTTTTAAAATAATCTTTATTGAGAGTTTTTTTAAAAATAGTTAAAAGAAAGAATAGTATTGTTAGGGTAAAACGGAGTAGGGGTGTGTAGGGATGGGTTTCTGGTTTAGAAGGGGGAAGGGGAAAATGGAAGAGAATGTTGTCTTCCAATCTTCTTAGCGTTGATTTCCAGCCTTAAGTGTCTTTTGGTTTCTATGCTGCATTTCCCCACTTCTCTGCTCCAGTTTCAGTGTCAAGTTCATTCTACCTCTTCATGGTTGTCTTATGTCTTCTTTTGCTCTATATTCATATAGTCTTTAAATAACTGCCAGCCCATTGAGTTTATAGGTCTCCCTGTATGTTTCTTCAGTAAAAAGGTTAATTTGTCCATATCCTTACTCTCCATGACTTTGTCTAACCAGTGGCCCTTGGGTGGAGTTTCTTTTATTTTCCAATTCTTCGCATATACTATCCTTGCTGCTGTGGTCAAATAAATGAAGAGGCTATCTTTATTTGTGTCAAGTTTAGTTATCTGTATCTGTTATTTATTTATCTATTCATTCATTCATTCATTTACAGTATTTATATTCCACCCTTCTCACCCTGCAGGGGACTGAGGGCGGATTACAATGTACATATACATGGCAAAGATTCAATGCCATAGATACACAATAGGCTTGGGTAGGTTTGTTCGTTAGTTTCTAAAATCGTAATTAATTTGGATTAAATTACCTTTTGATCCAATTTCAAGCCATGCAGGAATAGTGGGAGGAGCAATTCCAAACTGAAGCAACTTCCCCATTGTTCAGAATTATTTTCAGATGTGGCTTTGCATGGCTGGCAATGCAAAGAGGGACGAGATGGGCGTGGCTAAGAACAGCTCTTCCTGAAAGCCACTGGGGGAGTGGCCTTCAGGAAGAGCTGTTCTTAGCCACGCCCACCTTGTCCCTGTTTGCATCGCCGGCCGTGCAAAGCCGCCAATGCAAAGAGGGACTTGGTGGGTGTGGGTAAGCACTGCTCTTCCTGAAGGCTATACCCCCCAGTGGCCTTCGGGAAGAGCTGTGCTTACCCATGCCCACCTCGTCCCTCTGCAGTCCATCACCATTCATTGCCACCCAAGGAAGGGAAACTGCGAGGTTAGTTTTAAAATCTCGCAGTTTCCCTTACCTGGGTGGCGGCGAATGGCGATGGATTGCAGAGGGACAAGGTGGGCATGGGTAAGCACAGCTCTTCTTGGAGGCCTTGCCCTCAGCGACCTCCAAGGAGAGCTGCGCTTAGCCACACCCACCTCGTCCCTCTGCATGACAGCTAGCCAGAGAAGGGAAGCTGCGAGATTAAAACTAACACTTTTAAAATCTCTCAGCTTCCCTTCTCTGGCTAGCTGTCATGCAGAGGGACGAGGTGGGCGCAGCTAAGCACAGCTCTCCTTGGAGGTCACTGGGGTGTGGTCTTCAGGTAGAGCTGTGCTTAGCCACGCCCACCTTGTCCCTCTGCAATCCATCGTGGTTCGTTGCCACCCAAGGAATGGAAACTGTGAGGTTAGTTTAAAAATCTCGGGGTTTCCCTTCCTTCCCTGATGRCGAGCTGCGATGCAGAGGGACGAGGCGAATGTGGCTAAGCACAGCTCTTCCTGAAGGCCATTGGGGGCGTGGCCTTCAAGAAGAGCTGTGCTTAGCCACACCCACCCCGTCCCTCTGCATCACAGCTCGCCGCAAGGGAAGGAAGGGAAACTGCGAGATTTTAATGGTTCTGGAAGGAGGGAGGGGCACCTTCCATTAACAAAGCAAACAAAGAGATTAGTATTTCCTGATATTTCCAATCTTTTTTTCAAGAAAATTTCGAAAATAATTTCAAAATCGAATCACCAGCACCCCCTACATCCGAAACAAGTTCTGGCCACCAGGGGAGCTGTCCCTTCACCAACCATTTGTGACATTAATGAAGCACTTCCTCATTCTTTGCATGCTTGCTGGAGATTTTTACGGCCTCGTAAATTAGTTAAATTTGCCTCCCCGCATAAATGGTACCTAAATTTCCTACTTGACAGATGCAACTGTCTTTCGGGCTGCAAAGGTCAACAGCAAGCTACACAAATTGGTCGGAAGCTGACTCCGACCTGGGCTGGCTTCGAACTTATGACCTTTCGGTCAGTAGTGATCTTAATGCAGCTGACTCCCAGCCAGCTGCACCACAGTCCCGGTGCAGTCCTAATAGGAAATATTCTTCTTTCATTTGAATTTTTATTTTAAAGATCTTCTGACATGCCTTCTGCTCCTCCTTCCAAAAGGTCTAGCTTTAGGTTGTTCTAGGTTTTTCAGGCTGCATGGCCATGTTCTAAAAGCCTCACAACCTCTGAGGATGCGTGCCATAGATGCAGGTGAAACGTCAGGAGAGAATGCTTCTAGAACATGGCCTTATTGCCTGAAAAACCTACAACAACCCAGTGCTTCCAGCCATGAAAGCCTTCGACAATATAGGTCTAGCTTTATTTGCAGGTCCACCACAAGATAAAAGGTTTGTTCTTGGGCTCCACATTTCCAACATTTGTTCTGTGTGTTCTTATACATGGTTCCTAGTTTTTGTGGAGTCTTGTACCAATGGTACATCATTTTATATCAGTTTTCATTGCATATGTATACTTCAATCTTTTGTTCCACATCTGCTCCCATTCATCTAAACTTATGCACCAGCCAATATTTGTGGCCCATTTTATCATACAGGATTTTTACTAATTCTGTTTCAGTGGACCATTCTAGTAATTTGTTGTAAATCTATGTTATTTTTTTCTGCTTGAACCACTCTGTCCAAGAAGGTATCTTTGTCATTAAATCCTAACTTCTTGTCTTTGTTATAGTATTCTCTTAATTGTATAAGTTGAAACTAGGAAATGTTTTTGTTGATTTTGTTTAGCTCTTGTGATTTCATCTGGAAAGATCTATTTTGTTTTTTTCAAAATTTCCTTTTAAGTGGGCCACTTTGCCCAACCTAGTAGTCTTCTTTGTCTTGCTCCCAACGGCATTACCCATAGTGGAGTTTGTTGGTAATTTTTTTCTTTTATAACTTTCCCATATTCTGATTAGGGCAGATCTTACAAAGTGATTGCCAAAGTTTTACTCAATTTTCATTTTATCGTACCATAGAGATGAATGCCACCCTGCCCTTAAGTCAAATCCTTCCATGTGTTAACAGTTTCTCTCTTTTCAATGTAATCCAATATTTAATCCATGTTAATCTACAAGCCTCATAATATAGTGTTAGGGGATTCAAATTTCATTGGGGAACAGTAAAAGTAGAAGAAGACAATGCAGGATGAGAATGGAGGAGATGCAGAATGAGAGGCATATCTTTAAAATATTTTTTTATAATAAATTGTAAAAAGTACAAGTCATTTATCAATTCTCTAGCATGAAACACTATTGTTAATATGATCTAATTTAAATAATGACTCACCTAAAAAACTACATCTCATGGCTGCCTCAGCCCAAGTTGTACGGATTGACTCTATGTAATAGCAATGAGCCCGAAAAGGAATCCAAGATCTGTGGGATTCTTTTGATTCAGGACATCTTCCTGGGGTTTCAGGAGCCTCTGTTGGAAGTATACCTATAACAAAACATATTTTAAAAGAAGATATAGAAACATTTTACTAACATAGTTCTTTCTCCCTACTTGTGTTTCTTTTTTTCCTTTGTCATACTGAGACTCTTCTTTGTCTATTTCTTTATGCATTTAAAGGGAGCCCCCGGTGGTGCAATGGGTTAAACCTTTGAGACGGCAGGACTGTGGACTAACAGCTCAGCAGTTCGAATCCAGGGAGAGTGTTTTGAGCTCCCTCTGTCAAATGCAGCTCCCCATGCAGGGGCATGAGACAAGCCTCCCACAAGGATGGTTAAACATCAAAACATCTGGCTGTTCCCTGGGCAACGTCCTTGCAGATGGCCAATTCTCTCACAAGTTTCTCAAGTTGCTCCTGACATGAAAAGAAATGCATTTAAAGATCTAACAATCTTACCATGATACTTCTCACAGACAGAAAAATATGTTTCATTGCAAGTGCCTGTTTTCCAGTGACCATCGATGTCCAAGTAGACACAGGCAATTTTCTCTTTTGGCTCTTCGGCAGCCCAGTTGGTATATTTCAGTCTCCAGCCGTTTATCCATTTGTATTGATCATTGGTCTATAAGTATAATACACATAGAAGTTCGCTTTGCCTTAGAAAGGACTTTTTGATTGATTAAAAAAATGCGGACACTAATATCAGTAGGGATATCTGCCTCCTTGTATAATGTCTTAAAGATCTGAGGTAGGTTCGACAGAGAAAGAGGTACATATGCCTGTTCCACATATGTGTTAACAAAAATATCAAAATTCACAATTTTGGCCCCTAAACCTGTCCTCAACTTATATATGAGGACTTAACATATATGGTGTGTTATAAATACCCTGTAAATTACTGAAATTGAATTGTCTCCACTCAACCAATTGGATCAGCTGCTAGTACTATATCCCCAGCATACAGAAGTGTGTGTTGTACTTCCTTGTTATGAGAGGGTACTAGGGAATAATAAGAAATAACCGATCATATATGGGAATGGGTATGTGACTGAGCAGAGAACAACTGCTGGACAGTTGTGGCGAAGTTGGGTAAAAGAGACCAACAGCCAGCTAGCACTTGGTAAACAAGTGATTGCTGCAAGTTTCCAGGACATGTACTCAATAGAGTAAATCTTGCTTAAGCTTCTAGAGCCAATAATAAGACCTTTGATCTCAGCTCCTGGGGACTGGATCCTTACAGACTCAGGCCCTGACTGCCTTAGGATCATGATTGGGGAAAGGGGAAGCAGGATTGGTACAATGTGTTATTTGTTTGTGGCATTATTATGGTTTAATATATTTAACAGTTTTAAATGGTATTCATATGCTTATTGTTTCTAGTGATTTTATGTTATGATTATATGGTTTTTGTCTGGATGTGTGGTGTGTGCCGCTCTGAGTCCCCTGAGGGGTGAGAAGTGCAGTATAGAAATGAAATAAATATGTCAAAGTAAATTTCCACAATGTGATGTAAAATGTAATGAATTTTTTACCTGTGTTAAATGTTTTTAATGTTTAAATTATTTTTGTACTGTTGTGCGCATCAAATTGTGCCATTTTGTAAACCGCCATGAGTCGCCCTCGGGCTGAGAATGTCAGTATAGAAGCATAGTAAATAATAATAATAATAATAAATAACTTTTCTGAATCCAACCCCTTGATGCGGGTGAAGAACATTTTGTTCTTACCAGCTTGCTGTTTAGACCAATCCACACAGGCTCCTTATATTTTAACACTTGTAGCCATAAGAATGACTGGATATAAGGATTTAATATGCTGGCAAGTTCTGATTTTTCAGATTGACATTTTTGTCTTGCTTCTTCCCATGTCATTTTGGGACTAACAACCGAATAGCTACTATTGTCATAAACTCTATATCCAGAGGGCGGAAGTGTTGTTTCGGGGAGAGGTAACATAGTATCTATAGCAAATGAATAAAAGGAAAAGGAAAAAAAATTAATTCAAATTGCATTCAGTCTTTAAAAATATGAATGGATATAATTTCACACTGAAATTATGACTCTACTGTCTCCTAAGATCCAGCAGCTCAAAGTCCTAAAGTCTGAAAAAAAAGGTAAAATCCTTTAACTTGAGATAACATATAAGTTTCACCAAAGGATAAACATTCAATCCAAGCAAAAATAGGCCCTGGGTCAAATTACAATATTGATTTTATTGACAGTTCTCAAAGAGGCCAGTTAAATGCCTAACATGAAGTCTACAGGTCTATTTAAAATCCCTATAACTTTTTAAAAGAGAGGTTAGATTCTTAATCAATTGGGTTCTTAATCACTACACTTCTAAGAAAAGCCCTGTTTCTCCTAAATAATGGTGGTGCCAGCAAATGGGATATCTGAAACAACATAGGTAAGGGGGAAACCTACCACAAATAGATCTCTTTTAAAACTTACCAGTTTTCCTTTGACAGACATAGCCTTTCTTCTTATAACATTTTCCATCTCTCCAATTTCCTACCATTTTTTCAGGCCTTTTCATCATAAAAACACAATCACCCTAGGGAATGAACAAGAGTTACCTTGGTTATTGGGTTTACTATTTAATTAGGCTAATTGCCCTGCTTCAGTTTTGATGCTGTAAATATCAGATGATCTGTAAGTCACATCTCATCATTGACCTGCTGGACTACTATAATTCACTATGAGTCTCCATCATTTAAGTAAGTAAACTTTATTACAGTTGATGACCAGATCATAACAGGGGGACCCAGTTCTGCACATCCACATCAAACCCAAGGGGTTATATACTTCAGACTTCAACAAATTTTAAAATCGGAGCTAAAAATCACATCCAAGTACTTATTATAACCCAACTCAACCCATGAGATGATCCAAAGGCAGTCTAAAGAGAGGTAGTCTCCATCATTTGTTGAACGTTTTCTAGGATGGGATTGGGGATACTGACACTGCCTAAAAATAACATAGTGAGAATATAGTGGGAACAAGGGGAGGCAGTTGGTTTTGACCACTATCCTACCCCACTTGCCCCTTGCTTGCCTGCCCCCTGCTTGCTTGCCCATTTGCTCGCCCTCTCTTACTCTCTTACTCACCCGCTTGCTTGCCCACCTGCCCCCTGCTCACTCGTTCGCTCGCTCACCCACTCACTCATTTGCCCACCCCCTTGTTCACTTGCCCACCCCCTGCTTGCCCACTTGCTCACCCCTGCCACTCACCAGCTTGATTGCCCCCTGGCTGCTCATTCCCATGGGATCATCCCCCTCCCCCACTCACAACCTCCCCGAATGCCCCCCCCCCCCAGTTTTGGGCACTCTGTCTGTAAAAGGTCCACCATCACTGCCCTAGAATTACCGTCATTTAGGGACTTTTAGAGTCATTTAACTTGATAAATGCTGACAGTTGACTTCTGAATCAGATGTGATATGAAGTTCATACCAAAATCGAGATTACAGACACAAAACAGGTCCAGCGGATTGGGATATAAACATTTGCCTATTTCAGTAAAACATTTCAGATGTTTTCTTCTCATTTTGTGAGACTTTGAACAATTTTTACTGTATTTTGCATTTTGGAGTTCTMCCCCCCCCCCCCAAAAAAAACCACACTATTGTTTGTAGGCCTTTGTGTAAAATCCAGTCATTTCTGGGTTTTGTTTTATCTTTAAAAATAGAGGGGCAGGGCATTTCTGGTTTTTCTAAAGGAGGGGTTTTTCCCCAAAAGAAAAAAAAGTGACATGCTTTGGGAAGATGATTTCTCTCTTTTTCCCTGGGAACAGTTGGAAAAGCGTAAACAAGATTTTGCCCCAGTAACACAAGATCAAGAAGGTATGCTGCATCCAGCAAAGGATGGGAGGATGTTTTAGGTACAACTCACATCAGACCTTGGAAAATTGTTGTTCCAGTTTGTATAGTAGACACCACTTCCATCTGTCCATAGGAAACTACGCTCTGCATTAATATCATTCAGTCCAATCCAGAGTTCAGTTGAAATGCTTTTCAAAAGCAATATAAGGAAAGCTGAGTGACAACAGAGAAACAGTTTATCATAAAGTATTTGGCAACTACATGTCTTTCATCTGCAAGTGAACAATATAGGATATAATCAATTCAACTGGATATATTGTATCCATTTTTAAAGAAAAAATGTTTCATGTGGGGATGGAAAGTTGCAACCTTCTACATCCAGAGGGACTCCAGCCTTAATCAATCATGGCCAGGTTTGCAAATGGTGGCTGATTATATTGACTGTGGTTCAAGAATATCTAGAAGGCCACGGGTTCCTCATCTTTACTAGAACGTAACAGAAGCAAATGAAAACTTTACTTGAACAATCTGGCAAAAGGGCCACTGAGGCCAGCAGACTGCTTTCCGTTCCTGGGAAAATCACAAAGATCTTTAAAATCGTTAAGCCTATATGAATCTGTTTTAATGAATCAAACACACCTTGAACAGCTTTGTTTGGTATAGAGGCCAGGTTTCCTCCTTGGGATTTGCAATGGGTGCGTGCAGCGGCCCAGTTTTTCCTTTCTTCGTTATGAAAACCAAATATTCGGAAGCACTGCAAACAAAAGACAAATACTCTCGAAAAGTCTGGTAATCGTATCAAAAATCAAAATCAATATTGATATCATCCATCATGAATCATAGAATCAAAGAGTTGGAAGAGACCTCATGGGCCATCCAGTCCAACCCCACTCTGCCAAGAAGCAGGACAATCACAGACAATATTCCACCCCTGACAGATGGCCATCCAGGCTCTGTTTAAAAGCCTCCAAAGAAGGAGCCTCCACCACACTCCAATCTCAAGAAGAGAGAAGCATCCCGAGCTCTGAAGATCACCTGGGAAGGAATTGCAGCGCACCCAAATACCTGGGAGTCACTCTGGACCCTGCTCTTACCTACAAGAAGCACTGCCTGAACATCAAGCAAAAAGTGGGTGCTAGAAACAATATCATACGAAAGCTGACTGGCACAACCTGGGGATCACAACCAGACACAGTGAAGACATCTGCCCTTGCGCTATGCTACTCTGCTGCTAGCTAAAACAGTAGATGTGGCTCTTAATGAGACATGCCGCATTATCACGGGGTGTCTGCGCCCCACACCACTGGAGAAATTACACTGCTTAGCCGGTATTGCACCACCTGACATCCGCCGGGAAGTAGCAGCCAATAGTGAAAGGACCAAGGCAGAGACATCTCCAGCTCATCCCCTGTTTGGGTATCAGCCAGCAAGTCAACGACTTAAATCAAGACATAGTTTTCTAAGATCTACAGAGACACTCGCTGGAACACCCCAGCAAGCGAGAGTCCAAAAGTGGCAGGCCCAAACCCAGCACCTAAATTCATGGGTGATACCAGATGAGAGACTCCCCCCTGGGCACACAGAAGACTGGGTGACTTGGAAGGCACTGAACAGACTGCGCTCTGGCACCACGAGATGCAGAGCCAATCTTAAGAAATGGGGCTACAGGGTGGAATCCACGGCATGTGAGTGCGGAGAAGAACAAACCACTGACCACCTGCTGCAATGCACCCTGAGCCCTGCCACATGCACCATGGAGGACCTTCTTGCGGCAACACCAGAGGCACTCCAAGTGGCCAGATACTGGTCAAAGGACATTTAACCAACTACCAAGCTTGTAAACTTTGTGTTTTGTCTGTTTGTTTGTTTGTCTTGTTTTGTCTGTTTGTTAAAAATTTGTTAAAAATGTAATACAATTGTCTGGTTGATACTGACACGATAAATAAATAAACCCCTGACAGATAGCCATTAGGCCTGGGTAACAACGGAAAAAATTGTTTCTAAAATCGATTTGTATTTGGGGGTTTTTTTTGTTTCGATATTTAAAATAATTACAAAATTTTCCTTTGAAAAAGTTCGATATTTACGAAATTTCGTAAATGGTAAAAAATTAACGAATCGATTTCCGAAACAATAACGAATCGATTCGTTAATGGCGGACGCGACCGCGAAATACGCTAAAAAACCTCCAAAACCTTCTGAAGCTTCCCTCTTCCTCTGTTGTTGACTGTTGGTGTGATATTATAATTTTTTTTCACTAATTAAACCATAAAACTGGCCCAGACATGCGGAAATAATAACGAAACGACCTCAAAACAATAACGAAACGAATACAATATGAAATACGAAGCATTTACAAAACGTTTTTGAAAATTCGTTTTTTTAAATAATTGCTCCAGAATGGTTTGTTATCGTTTTGTAATTGAAAAAATTAACGAATTATTAACGAATTACGAATTAACGAAACGAAACTGCCCAGCCATTGCATCCAGCCTCTGCTTAAAAGCTTCCAAAGAAGGAGCCTCCACCACACTCCGGGGCAGAGAGTTCCACTGCTGAACGGCTCTCACAGTCAGGAAGATCTTCCTCATGTTCAGATGGAATCTCCTCTCTTGTAGTTTGAAGCCATTGTTCCGCGTCCTAGTCTCCAAGGAAGCAGAAAACAAGCTTGCTCCCTCCTCCCTGTGGCTTCCTCTCACATATTTATACATGGCTATCATATCTCCTCTCAGCCTTCTCTTCTTCAGGCTAAACATGCCCAGCTCCTTAAGCCGCTCGTCATAGGGCTTGTTCTCCAGACCCTTGATCATTTTAGTCGCCCTCCTCTGGACACATTCCAGCTTGTCAATATCTCTCTTGAATTGTGGTGCCCAGAATTGGACACAATATTCCAGGTGTGGTCTAACCAAAGCGGAATAGAGGGGTAGCATGATTTCCCTAGATCTAGACAATATGCTCCTATTGATGCAGGCCAAAATCCCATTGGCTTTTTTTGCCGCCACATCACATTGTTGGCTCATGTTTAACTTGTTGTCCACAAGGACTCCAAGACCTTTTTCACACGTACTGCTCTCGAGCCAGGCATTGTCCCCCATTCTGTATCTTTGCATTTCGTTTTTCCTGCCAAAGTGGAGTATCTTGCATTTGTCACTGTTGAACTTCATTTTGTTAGTTTTGGCCCATCTCTCTAATCTGTCAAGATTGTTTTGAATCCTGCTCCTGTCCTCTGGAGTATTGGCTATCCCTCCCAATTTGGTGTCGTCTGCAAACTTGATGATCCTGCCTTCTAGCCCTTCATCTAAGTCATTAATAAAGATGTTGAACAGGACCGGGCCCAGGACGGAACCCTGCGGCACTCCACTCGTCACTTCTTTCCAGGATGAAGAGGAAGCATTGGTGAGCACCCTCTAGGTTCGTCCATTTAACCAATTACAGATCCACCTCACTGTAGTTTTGCCTAGCCCACATTGGACTAGTTTCCTTGCCAGAAGGTCATGGGGACCTTGTCGAAGGCCTAACTGAAATGATATTAGTATAGTAGAGGCAGATGATTAACAGTTTATCAATTCACATTTTTTAAAAAATCATACATGTTGCAGTATTTTTTTTAAAAAAATGGTTCATTAGGCTAGTTCTTATGACTGTATTACCTTGTTATTAAACAAATGCCAGCCTTCTGCACACCCTCCAAGAGGCTCAGGTGATGTGGGAACAACAGTTGAAGCAACAGAACGATTGTGCCTCTCACAGATGAAGCCACTCTCTGCACCACAGTTTATATCGTTCCATAAGCCTGAATGAGACAGATTTTATCTGGTGATAAGTTCCTTCTCACAAACAAAGGGCCAATGGTGTTTCAAGTATATGTTACAGATGAAATTATAACAACACTAACAGTAGCAACAAAAACTATATGGGAATCATATATTGTATAGAAACATACTTGCTCTGTATAATATACACACCAATACATGTATTATTTTAATATATGGTATAAGCTGCTTTGGATCCCATGTAAGGTGAAAATGGGATCTTATTTATTCATATATATTTATATGTATGGGTGAATAATGATTTTGTTTTTGAATCCAGTACACTCCAGATGTCATTATATATGGAACAAAACTATTAAAATAAGTTTAAATTAAGGCCAACTCATTTTAATGGATCTAATAGTTATGCCTAACCAAAATTTCAGGGATTTCAGCAGATTTCCTCTAAGTATGACTAAATAGGAAACCATACTAGTGTGTGATAAATGTTCTATATATTTATTATTATTTTGCCCCACTCCCCCACATACTCATACTCAAATTGTCCATAGTTATGCTACTTGCCTGTACTAATGTACATAATCACACAATGTTCATCTTCATTTGCCAAGTTGGGTTCATTAGGGCCCCAGGCTGCATATGTCACCGGAGATCCATCTATCCAACTAAACAAATTACAAAACAATATTAGACAGAACCATGTTGCTAGTAGTTTACAGTACTATTCTATTATCTGGGCGGAGGCCAAAAGGGGCCCTTTTTTGGGGAGGTGTGTGTGAATGAGTTAAACTATTTCCCCTTGCTTTCTGTTATTCCACCCACTCATGTCGCTGTGAGAAGTGTTTTTTTTATTATTTATTCCCAATATATACAATAGCATAGTAAAATAGTGTCCTTTATATATACCGTATATAATCCGGCCCGAATATAAGCCGAGGCACCTCATTTTACCACCAAAAACTAGTAAAACATATTGACTCAAGTATAAACTGAGGGTGAGAAATGCAGCAGCTACTGGTAAATTTCAAAATAAAAATATATACCAGCAAAATTACATTAATTGAGGCATCAGCAGGTTCAATGTTTTTGAATATTTAAGTCTGATCTTAAACTGTAATTTAAGATAAGACTGTCCAGTTCTGATTAAACCATTTTTCTAACATTCTTCAGTGTAAATGTGCTTATGTATCCTTCCAATAATGATAAAGAGAGTAAAATAATAAATGTAATAACAATCATAATAAAGTAAAATAATAAATGTAATAATAATAGAGTAAAATGACGTGTATATATAACAATAATAAGAATAGAGTAAAATAATCAATGTAATAAAAATAATACTAAATAATCTTGACTCAAGTATAAGCCGAGGGGAGCTTTTCCAGTCTAAAAGGGGGCTGAACAAACTAGGCTTATACTCAAGTATATACAGTAATTGCAAAATCAAGGTTTTCCTTCTGTGAGAAAATTGAAGGAAAGGAGTCGTTGAGTAGTTTGGCCTTTTCATTATTGGGTTGTTGTAAGTTTTTTGGGCTATACGGCCATGTTCTAGAAGCATTCTCTCCTGATGTTTCACCTGCATCTATGGCAAGCATCCTCAGAGATTGTAAGGTCTTTTCACTATTCCTTTTGCTTTGGGCAGGGCAGCACAACCTGTGGCCTTCCAGATGTTTTGGATTTCAGCTCTAAGAATTCCTGACAATTCGAGAAGCTGGCTAGGGCTTCTGGAAGTTGGAGTCCCAAACACCGGGACAGACACAGGTTGATGGCTGTAGACATCACAAAAACACACCTCTTTTTATTGCTTTTAGTTTTTCTGACTTCCTTCTTACACATGCTAGCTATTAGTTTGAATTCCTCTTTGGTGATTCCCCCCCCCCTTTTCCATTTTATGTAATTTCCCCCTTTAAATCGTAGCTCACTTGAAACATCGTCAACCATTCTTTCTCAGTGGAACTATTTCAAATTGTACCTTTAGTACCTCACATTTAAAAATCTTGCATCCTTCATGAATTCCCTTTATGTAAAGATCTTTTGATTTGTTGTCAAAGACGTTTGATTTTTTTAAAAAACTTTGATAACTATGATGAGATATAGATATGCATTAAAATATTGGTTACTTACCCAAACTTTCCATCCAAGCCCATAATTAAGCCAATGTAAGAGGTATGTTGATCTGCTGCCATGTATCGTTCCAGAGATGGTGGTGGTGGGTAGTGGTAGGCCTAGCAGTTGATGATGGAAGGGTTAATGTAAGTGTTAGTTCTAAAGGGTTGAGTAATCTATTTATGTCCAATTAATTCTTCCATTTCCTTCTTTACCTTATTATAAAATTCTTGTACTCTGTCGCATTCCCACCACATATGTATATAGGAGTCAATTTTTCCACATCTGTGACAACACAATTTTGTGGTTGATTTTGTTATGTGCGCTAGTTTAATTGGGGTTCTGTACCATTTAGTCAGTATTTTCCTTTGTGTTTCTCTAATCCTTATGGATTTGATATTTTTGATTGAATTGATCCAGTGTTCAATGTCTGAATCATTGTTATTCAGGTGCTCTTTCCATATCTCTACCAATGTTTGTTTCAAATTATACTGATTTCCATCTAATTTCTTGTATATGAACCCCATCAGGCCTTTCTTCTTTTCTAATTTCCACTTTAAAATTTTATCAAAATCTGTTTTGGGCCTTCCTTTTTCCTTTCTGAGTCTACACTGTCATATACTGCAGTTCAAAGCAGATAATCTGGATTTTATATGGCAATGTAGAAGGGGTCAAAGTAGACAAAAGCAAAGTGGATAGCAATCTCCCAAAGCAGAAGCAGACAAGAGTACGAGGCACAGAGGTTGCTCCCTCAAAGCCCTAAATCCTCTACTCTCGCGTTGGCACTCCCTCTGGCTCTAACTCTTAACTCAAAATGCTGCTCTTATGTGAAAGTGAAACCAGGGCCAAGCGGAAGCTCTTAACTCAAAATGTTCTTAAGTTGGGATGCTCTTAAGTAGAGGTTCCACTGTATCACAAAATGACTAGTAGCCCCTACAGAACATGTACCATTCTTATGTCGGATCGCTAGATACTACACATACTTCTAGATTTTGAAAATTAGAATATGGCAACTTGTATTCATGTGTTTGAATATGTTACATGCATTTTCAGTTCTAGTGTTGCCTCGATAGATAATGTACAATTGGGTGGATTTTGAGAACTAAATTGTAGTAACTCTATTAATGTGTTTGCATACATTACAAACTGAGTACTAGCACCACCAAAACATCTACAGTTGTATCATACATTTGGTAGAAACCACACAATTGAGTGGAGATAATTTTTAAAATTACCACCGCTGTGTAATGGATGACTAGATGATATAATAATAATAATAATAATAATAATAATAATAATAATAACAATAATAATAACAATAACTTTTTATATTCCACCCTATCTTTCCAGAGGGACATAGGAGAGATTCCAAACATAAAAGGCAAAGATTCAATGCCTGAACATAACAATAGATGTTAATTTATTTGTTACCTGCCTCTCCTCATAGCTCAAGGCAGGGTACAACACTGGATGACACAAAACAGTTTGATCAGGTTTTAGTATATATGTTCCCATTTTTGCATCCCACCCTTTATTACAAGATTTGGCACTTGAATAGTTGAGCATGAAGGTGCACATCTGCAGGGTTAAGCTCCACATATTTTTGATTGTATTATATCTATTGTTTCCATCTAGAACTGAAAGTTGAACAGATACAGAAATGGCTATTCCTAAACAATTACTCATTGGTTTTTGAACAACATTATTTTTATTTGAGAAACATATTTCTTACATATTTCCACAAAAACGTTCTTTCATTTTCATTCCCAATGATTGTGAGTTGACCACCATGTGTCTTGCAGAATGCTTGAGCCTTTTCTGCAGGCAAGGAGAAATTACTGAAATAATACTCATTGCTTTCATATGCAACCCAGCCATCTTCAACAATTTTGAAAGAATATTCTGCAAAATAAAGAAAAAGAAATAACATGTATACAGTACCATTAGAAGTGTCAATAGAAATTACATACAGTCTGGTTTTTGATGTGAAATTACCCAACATACCAAAAGTATTCTTTGGTTCCGGTTTTAAGGATATACCTGAAAAATTAAATATGTGTTAATTCTAAAATAATCAAGTGCAATCTCAATTTAGTATCAATACTTAATACAAGCAACAAAAATTAAACTTATTACATTATATATTTACAGCTTACCACACATTAACATACTGTACATGTTGTATGTCTGTGCAATTCTGGCAGCTAGCTGTTTCCTAGGTTTCCACGTTGAGTGGCAAAGGGGATTGTTGCTGCCCACTTTCCATTGCTGCCAGTTTGAGTGAGGTGGAGGAACAGCATTTCCGCCTACCCAGAAATACTCTTTTTCCCCACTTTCACAGGACTCCTGCCTTCCTAACGCCATGAATGTGGAGGGCTAATTACACATTATATTTAAGTATGTAACATGATATCAGGCCCAAGAATTTGGACTCTGCAATGTTTATAATGGAAATAATTAGCACAACACTTTTTTCAATCACTTGACTGAAAATGCTGCCTGTATCAGAATCATAAACACTTAACAAACAAAACCCTTAATAAACATTTATTTTACCTCTTTTTATTTGGCAAATCCACGCATTCAAACGATAACATAAGACAGCGCGCCATCCTCCATGATAGGTTATAAATAGTTTGCATTCACTTTCAGTGCTTTCAATAAAGAATACCCCATAGATACCATTAGTATAGTCTACCTGTTAATGAAGAAATGAAATTCTGTAGTACATTGTCTTACTAAAATCGCCAGTTGCAATGTGAGGAAAGAGATACACTTACAGTAGTGATCTTCAGAATATTTATACGTGTTTTATATGTGGTTCTATTTATACATACAGGAGAAAGACTGTCATTTCCATTTTTTAAGGTAATGCAAGTTATAGGTTGAATTTGGGGAAGTTACTTTCCAAACTAGAGCTTCTAAAATAACTCAGTCAACATAACTGAACAGATATTCTTGAACATCCGGATTCCTCAACCAACATCATTGTTCTATTTTACTAGCGCTCCACAGACAATAAGTACAATATATATAAACAATAAAATTTAGTTCTATATAATTAAAATTAACTAAACTATCCTTGTCTAATGAAGAACTACACAATATCAAAGATTTTTTCCGTATCAGAGGGATTGTATAAACTAGCATAAAACCGACAAAAATAGAAGGTGTGCAGGCGGCTAAATATCTTTTGACCAAAACCGGGCAACAGCAACGGCATTGTCTGTAGCCTCCAACAATTCCTCCTCTGTACATGAGGCAGGGCACAATGGGCATACAGATGCAGAGTGGTCTGTTCTGCTCCACAGTCATACAAAGTATGGGATTCTTTTAGGTGGTGCCATTTTGCAAGGTTGTCTTTTGATCTGCCCATTCCGCTTCTGAGTCTATTCAGGGACTTCCAGGTTGCCCATTCTTAGTTTGCCCCAGAGGAAGATCCTTGCGGGGGGCCATCCAGTTGGGATTTCCTGATTTAGCTGCCCAGAGGGATACCCTTGCTGTTGCTGGAGCGACGCCAAAAGGAGTGGTAGTTCTCATAAAGCTTTTCCTTGATTTGAGTCTACTGGGAGGAAGCTGGTAGCTATGTAGTGGATGGCTTTCACAGTTTTCAACTTTATTTCTCTCACATTTAGCAGCAACTTTCCATCGCACATCGGGGGGGGGGGGGGGGCAATGCCAGCTAGCTTGTGGAGTTTATCAACAAGTGTAGGTTTAAGACACCCTGTGATTATTCTAAATGTTTCATTCAATGCTATGTTCACCTGCTTTGCATGGGCAGATCTATGCCAAACAGGGCAGTCATACTCAGCAGTTGAGTAAGACAAGGCTAGGGCTGATGTTCTTACTAATTTTGGGTCTGCACCCCATGTGCTGCCAGTAAGTTTTCGCAGGATGTTATTGCGTGCAGCTACTTTGTGCTTGGTGTTCAAGCAGTGCTTCCTATATGCTAGTGTTCGATTTAAGCTGACACCGAGATATTTAGGATGGAAACAATGTTCAAGTTCTTGACCTTTCCAGGTGACTTTCAATTTCCTGTTGGCTTCAAGGTTGAATAGGTGGAAAACACATACTTGTGTTTTGGCAGGGTTAGGCTTCAGGTGGTTACCTTTGTAGTAGCTGGAGAGATCTTTCAAGGCATTAGTAAGTTGGATTTCAACTGTTTCAAGGTCTTTTGCTTGTGTTGTTAGGCCAAGGTCATCAGCATATATAAAGCTCTTTGTGAGTGGTGGTTGTGGCTGATAGTTAGTAAAGATATTAAAGAAGGTCGGTGCAAGAATGCTGCCTTGGGGTAAGCCATTCTTTTGCCTCCTCTATCTACTTTTCCTGCCCTGAAACTCCACATAGAAGCTACAGTTTTCTAGGAGAGTCTGGATAATATTGCTTTTAAACAATATCAAAGTTAATATTGCTGTTTCTTTCGACCTAACAGCTTTTAGTCAGTGACCAAGGGAGTGAAGTATTGAAAGTCAGTAGAGAGACACTCAGTAATTGAATGTTAACTTCTTTCCTATAAGCATCCTTTTACTGTGCTCCCTTATAAATTAATAGATAAGGAAATTTAAACTTGACTACCTTTTCAGTTCACATGCTTAGCCATTAGGCTACATCTCATCTCATCATCTTAAACCATAGAATTTCCCTGTTTTCACTAGTTCACTATGGCAAAAGCATTTGGGGGGCCACTATGAGATTATGAATGATGTTTGATAATTTTTGAATAACCATTTTATTCTATGTTTTGCAGTAATTTGACAATCTAGGAGATGTTATAGAGTGTCAGGAGTTTTGTGCACATGAGCAAGTCCTAACAAACTGATAATCTAAAGTGTATAAAACTATGGAATGTATAGTGTGATGCAAGATCTGAGGTAAAATTAAAAGATTATAGAACAAATACATAAAAAATCAAGAACAGATACATAAAAATTAAAGAACAGATACATAAAAATTAAAAACAGAAAAATTAATATGAAAAGAACATCACAAAGAATGGTAAAATTACAGAATGACCTTTTAATTGTCAGATTGAGTGCAAAAGGTCAATACAAGTTAAAATTTACACTGTCATTAGTAAAAGTATGATAGCTGGTACTGAGTGCTGGTAGCGCTACGCTGATTCCAGAATACTACTTTGCCCATGCTGATAGCGCAATCTGGCAGCAGGATACCACTGAAGTCATAACACAACACAGCAGCAGGATACCGCTGAACACAGTTAACACAGGCAGAACACAAATAACGAAGTAATCCTTCCCTGTTTATTGTTCCCCCCTTTCTGTCCCCCTCTTTCTGTCCCCCCCTTCTGACCCTCGTTCGGCTCATCTTCCGTTCCTATGTACTATCTTGCCAACTGTGTCCCGCCTGTGTCTCTCAGTCCGCCCGCTCTCACTCCACCCGTTCTCATGACCACATGGTCACACACATGTTCCTCATTCACAACCACAGTTGCGGAATCAGCATGGCACTACCAGCACTCGGTACCAGCTATCATACTTTTACCCTATCATTTAATAGAGGCCAAAACTCTTTAAGTAATGTACAGTCTGAAATTTCATAAAAGTTACGGATCAATTGTGTGCCTCCACCACCCCCCCCCCCCAGGCACACTTTTCAGCCCAATATTTACATTGTTGAGTTGATCAGAACTATGCTACCAATACATCAGTTTTAATTCATTTACTTACAGGGGATTTATCACTCCAAACCCATCCATTCTCAGGATCTAACTTATTTAAACCAATCCAGTAATTAGGAGTCCTGTGATCACTTAAAATATCTCTGAAATATAAAAAGGCAGTCCCCAAGTTACAAACATCCAATTTACGAACAACTCACAGTTAAGAACGGGGGTGAGACAACAGGAAGTGAGAATAATAATAATAATAACAATACTTTATTTGTACCCCGCTACCATCTCCCCAAGGGACTCGGTGCAGCTTACATGAGGCCGAGCCCAAATACAACAATACAAGCAATTAAAAAGAAAAACATAGACAATAAAAATATACAACATTATCAATAAGACAACACACAATTAAAAACAGTGGGAAGGTCAAATGTACAATTAAAATTGGAAATAATGTTGGGACACAGAGGAAAAGGAGATAGTGGTGTTTGCGGAACAGCATACGAGCAGACCTAAAGAAATGTAAAGTGCTTTGGAGGACAAAGTGCTATGGGATCATTATTCTGGGAAGGCACACTGGAATAGCCACGTCTTCAAGCTCCTCCTGAAGACTGCCAAAGTTGGGGCCTGTCTGATGTCTTTAGGGAGTGCGTTCCAGAGTCGAGGGGCCACCACCAAAAAGGCCCTCTCTCCCGTCCCCACCAATCACGCCTGTGATGCTGGTGGGATCGAGAGCAGGGCCTCTCCGGATGATCGAAGGGATCGTGTGGATTCGTATATGGAGATGCGGTCACACATCTATCCCTAGAAAGGGAAATTCATTCCAAAAAGAGTGATCATGGGGGAAAGGTGTCTCAACTGAAGCTTTGTCATTAATCCTTGTTTCCACAACAAGCCTAATTTTTCAAAATCCAATCATCACAGGGATAGAAAGTGAGATGAAATTTTTTGAAGAGGGGCATAGACAGCAAAACAAACACAATGGGTGTCTTAACCCTTCCCTATTATCTGGAGTTACACTTTAAAAATTTACCTGTTCTGACTTACATAAAAATTCAACTTAAGAACAAACCTACATAATCTATCTTGTTTGTAACCCGAGGACTACTTATACAAAGATACACAGAGACCCTCAGGGAAATGAAACAAGAAGGATGACAACTAGAGTGCAGATGGTGGAAAACGTAACTGTTATGTGACAAGACATGGTATAGAGAGCACCTTTGCTCTGATAAGGTGGCAATACATGCAGCAAAAAAAAAAAAACCTTTCTTCACTACCTGCCTTGTGCCTGCAGATCCACATCCAACTGAGCTGTTCAGAGTGGTGAGAGGCTTTAATCAGGTGCCTTTATGGCTAATTTGCAGGTGTGCAGGTGTGCAGGTGTATGTGTCAAGAGAAAAACATGCTCGGGTTAATTGTATCCACAGGCAAGGTAATTAGGGTTGATTAGTTTGCGACTCCCAGAGGACTGTAACTGGGGAGAGTTTGTCCCATGAATTGGGTGTGATGGATCTGACTTACCTGGGAAAATTGGTATGTGACCTACCTCGAAGGGTTAGTGCGTGAGCAGCCATTATGTAAAACCAGGAAGTTAGGCAGACCTTTTGTGGTTCTCATCGTGCAGCAGAGCCGGGGGTAGAGCTATTTGCATAGGAGTGGTCTGATTGTCCAGATGCAAATGAGCAAGTGCTGAGGCACAAGAGATGGGGGGAGTCAAGAATGGGAGTTAGAAGAGGCCAACTGAACTTTCCTTTTTAGTTAGCTGGGGTAGCTAGTGCAGTTAGTTGGTATCAAGGAGCTCGGAAAGGACAGTTAGTCGTAGAGAGGTGTAAAAGTGCAGAGTAGTCAGGATTTCAGTGTCTGGTTAAGGAGTGCAGGTTTTTAGAAATTAGTTTTCAGGAGTAATAGTATAAAAGCCTTTTGTGAAGGAAAGGCTGAGGAAATACATAAACGAAAGTCACAAAGAAACTATTTTTAAAGTAACATCATTATAAGAGATTAATCAATAACCATCATTGTGACCACCAAGCATCTGTACTGTATATATATATTGTTGAAACCATCATGCTTATGTACCTCAAAGGAGACAAATAAACAAAGTTATTGTTTCATCTCATGCGAAGTCTCACTCTCATATCTAAGCCTCAACATAAATAAAGCAAGGCCCATGAACACAAAAAGTGGCAGCAGAAATAAATATCCCCTGACTGGATCCTTTATATATTGTGAGTGGCAGAGGTGGGATCTTAAAACTCCCCCCTGCCTGATAGGTCCTTTATATTTTTGGTAGCAAAGATATTTTAAACCCCCTCAACTAGCTGATTCATCCTTTACATTGGGCTTACTTTGTGTTTATTCCTGGAAGCCTTGCTGGAAATTGAGCTTGCTGAACATTTGCTGGAAGCCTTGCTGCTCAGCATAAGCTTCTGACTGGCAGCAGCTCCATTTTATGCTGATCAATATTTCTACATCCAAGGAACATTGGAAGATTCATTTCTATGGACTATATGGACTATGTGTAATATACAAAACTAATTATGATTGTACCGCTGATTGTGTTTTTTTTCATTCACTGCTCTGAATACTTAAAAGTAAATGTTTGTTTTTTGCATTCTTCACATTTGTGTTGCATATTTCATTTGAACTGGCTAAACTGTGTGTTGTATTACTGGATAACTGGGTTACATACACTGAACAATCTGCAACACCCTCCCTCCCAACCCATTATTAGAACCTTCAGTAGCTCACTATGATATTTTTGACAACCATGTTGCCGATAAAATCTCTTGCATAAGAGATGACTTAGATGCAGTAATTGGAGCAAAGACCAACAATGAGGTGTCCAGCAACTCTGTGATTGGGATTATACTGGATCAGTTTCAATTGATTATGTGAGTATTGATTATGTGGACAACCTATTGGGGCAGTTACAACCTGCTTTCTTCATTCGTGTGCCTCTTGGGTGGTCATCCAGAGAGGAGATACAATTAAATCTCAAATAAAACAAATTAGTAATGCATCTCTCAGGGAGGATAACTTTCATCCTGTTTAAAAGAAGCAGCAGTTAGATCGCTACTGGAGAAGCCCTCCCTGGATCCCCTGGACCTTAATAATAACACACCAGTGTCTAACCTGCCTGTTTTGGGCAAGGTATTTGCCCTCCAACTCCAGGCAGTCTTGCATGACACACACTTTTGCCCTCCAACTCCAGACAGTCTTGCATGACACACACTTTCTTGACCCATCTCAACACTGACAGGGGGAGTGTGTCCCTTTTGGTGCTTCTAGACCCCTTACAGCTTTTGATACAATTGACGATGGTATTCTTCAGGAACAAATAGAAGGACTGGAAATCAGAGGCACTATGTTGGAGTGGTTTTGATCATACCTCTTAGGCAGGTTTCAGGTGGTGAACAACTGCTCCTCAAAAAATGAGATGTTATGTGGTGTCCCATAAAGTACCATTCTATCCCTGATGCTTTTAAAAAATATTTACATGAAACCACTGGGAGATATTGTCTGTAGGCATGGTGGGCTGTTATCAGTATGCTGATAACACCAAATATACACTCCATGCCTTCAAAAACAGCTTCTGCCAAGGATAGCATGTCTCCACTGAATGAATGCCTGGAGGAGGTAATGGGCTGGATGAGGAAAACATATTGAAACTGAATGCACACAAAACAGAGATATCCTAATCTGGGGTTGAAGATGTGTCAGCTAGTTCTGGAAGGGGTTACACTCCCCTGAAAGACTGTGTTTGCAGCTTGGGAGTGCTCCTGGAGCCATCTCTCCAAAAGTTAGCCCAGGTAGATGCAATGGTCAGGAGTGCTTACTATCAGCTTTGGCTGATATGAACACATACCTCCATACCATGTCTATCCCACTATATACCTGTCCTCTTGATGCACTTTCTCTCATCCCTAGTAAAGCTCAACCCCATTGTTCACCCCTTCTGAGTTCTCCCCTCAGACACACACTACTCCACTTACTTATCTCACCCAGCGTTTTATCAATTTTATCCTGTGCATTTGGCCCACCCACTGTAGTTTTATTTCCCCACCATTTTACTCTGTGTTTGTTTATTGTATAGTTGTCATTGTTTGCATTTTACTTCGATGTTTATCATTTGTTTGCTGTATTTTACTTTGTTGTGTTGTAATTCTTGGGCTTGGCCTCATGTTAGCCACTCCGAGTCCCCTTTGAGGAGATGGTGGCGGGGTATAAATAAAAATTGTTTATTATTGTTGTTGTTGTTGTTGTTGTTGTTGTTATTATTATATGCCAACTATGCCCCTTCCTAGATTTGGAGGACCTAAAGATTATTGTAATTGCTTATATGTAGCAGCATTGAATCGTTGCCAAATGTAAGCTGTCCTGAGTCCCCCTTCTGGGGTAGAGAAGAGACGGGGTAGAAATACTGGAAAAATAAAGATGCTAGTGCACACACTGGTAACCTGAATGTTGGGTTTAAGAGGGGGGGGGGGTGGATTCAAGTATCCTAAAACACTGCTTGTCCAGACTTAAACTTATTTACATGGTGCTTTCTGGTAAAACATTTTCTTTCCATTGACTCCTTCCAACCTGCTACCTGATGACAAAACCTAAATGTTTTTGACCTGTTGTCATAGATCTAATTCAGGTATGGGTAAACTAAGGGTAAACATGTTTTATTTTCCTCTCAGTATAAGGATGGAGCGAGCAGCCCCATCCTTATTCCAGGAGGACAACCTGAGAATGACCCGGACCCTACCCAACCCCCTCCTGGCTCCACCTTCTCACAAGCCCTCTCCCTCGCAGCTGGGCTGCCTCGCTCGGGCCCACAATGGAGCCCCAAGGCAAAAAAGTTGAATGAGCCTACACTTGTGGCAATTTAGTGAGGTAGGAATGATCATAATATAAGCGAGTACAACTCTTCAACCATCTTGAAGTCATCACCTTGGTTGATTCAACCCCAAAATTCCTGGATGGAAAATGACAAACAATGCCCCTGTACAACCCTAACAATTGCTTCCTGGGAGTACATATCAATGGATACAATGGGGCATATTACTGAATCAACAAACACACTGTTGTGTTTCTCATGTATCAGGCATATATGTGAATTCTTAGAAGATAAATCTTGGTACAGAATTTTGTACTGTTCCATTAGGAGTAAAACAATTTCCCACTGTTTTCCTGTTATTCCCCCCATCCATGTTGCCGTCATTTATGAAATGGAAAGTTGGGAGGAGGAGATCACCAGCAAAAACAAGGAAATATGTTTTCCTCCTTCAACTCCCCTCCCCCCATAAAATGGGCTATCCTCCTCTGTTTAGCACCCCCTTTCGGCCTCTGCCTGGATAATAGAATGGTACCCAGAACTTATTTTAATCCTGAGATAATTTAAAGGAATAAGGATATTGTGAAACTCACATGTTCCTCATCACTTTTTGCTCTTCCTGATTGTGGATAGAAGGCAGGTCTCCTCCAATTTCTTTACAAAAATCTTGAGCTTCAAACCATGTCTTCTTTTGATATTTTTCACCAATAAATGCCTAAGGGCATAAAACACACTTTTAATCAAAACATCTCTAAATTACCACCCTCTGAATTTTACTACTCCTCTTTTTTGTTTCTTCAACATACCTCAAAACTACCTATACTTGTCACCAAAGCTTCTCAATCAATCTGAAGCAATACATGAATATAATGTTGTTACTGAATAAACTATAATCCTATTTTTAGAGTGAAGTCAGCTTTGAAAAACATCTGTTAAACCCTCATAAATAATAGTTCAATTTTTGATTGAAAAGCTGTATTTTAATAATAATGATAACATTTTTAAGAAGATAGCCTAGTTTTGGCTGAAATTGTGAAAGTTGTACACACTTCTAAATTCCAGGTTTCCATGTATGAAGGAGGAACTACTTTGCACCAGAAAATCTGTATACCTACTTTGAAGCACACACTCCTAGTTGGGCTTGGGGTCCATCCATCTGGACACGGGGGTGGGACAGTTACTGGTGGGACAGGAGGAGGTGTCACACCTTCTGCCCATTGTTTGCAGAGGAAAACTGCCTTCTCCTTGCAGTCCACAACATCCCATAATCCAGCTGCCGTTCCTGTTCTCATGGCCACGCAGCCAGGACTTTGCCCTTTTTGGAATGCAAGACAGGAACCAGTTACATTGAAGTCGTCTTTGTATAAATACTACTTGCCTCTACCCCAAAATTAATAGAAAGTCTTTCAACAAGCATATTTCATCTTTGTAGCCCTTTGGAATACATACCAGGCATTTCTGAATTCCAGTGGGTGAATGACATGTTATCTCCATTGGTCCAGTTGAATATCCCTGGTTGCTCTACATCTGAGAGACCTATCCAGAAATACCTTTCAGAACGCAGGCCAACTAGACTAGTTAAATAGGCCTGTTCATATCTGGAGAGAGGAGCAGGTGAAAAGTGTATTAAAATCACACATGTTTGATCAATGTATTTGAGCTTTGACCAGAAGATTCAGCATGCTCTAGTTCTTATACATTCAGAATGCATAGCCTAGCATATCCATAAAGCACAACTATAGAAAGAGAGTGCCTTTGCTTCCAGGTCAGCAAGAATTATACCTTCGTATTGAATTAATCAATAGAGAATAACTGGACTTGCTTGGCATAGAGTTGTACACAACCCTACACACATTATAAACACAAAAAAGAGAGAGAAGCATATAGATTTTTTAAAACTTGAATGATAAGCCTAAGAACAGACTACACATCAAATCAATTTTGATTTCAGTTCTTAAAATGGCATTTGGGGGCTACTTTAGGCTATTGGATGCCCAAACCTCAAAATTGGTCTCCAGGGAGGAATAGATCATTCCTCCCTTACCCAGACAGCTTTCTAGATATAGTTATATTTTGATCAGTATCAAACAGGAATATGTATATTCCAATATCTCTTAAATAATACTAAACCATAGAGTTGGAAGAGACCACAAAATCATTTGTATACCTGTCCACCACAGAAGTCAGAAATCCCTTGGCTGCTTCACAGAACGTCTTTGCTTCTGAAAAAGTTTTAATGGTCTGTCCAATGAAGTAACAATATAAACCATGCCTTTTCCAGCCCTACCCATGGAAAACAACCATCAGTCACAGGTTACTACAATATCAGTTTAGCATTTGTTACATTTTCTTTCTAGCATAGTCTCATTCATTTATGCAGACACTGGCCTACAGTGAACTTTAAGATGAACCATAAGGATTCTTTGATGGCTATGCTAAAGTCTTCTTTCTCCAAAGCATATTTTTGACACACAAACCATGGGGTAGAATCTTCTATAACTTTTACTGGTGTAATTCCTATTTATATATGTATAAAAAACATTTTGGAATGGTGTAAAGTAGCAGCTGGCAGACAGAACAGATTGCACCAGCTTGGAAATCAGCAACAGTTATGATAGCCAACAGATTGGACATACAGATATTAGAAATGGAAGATAAATTAGTATTAAATATGTTGAGTATAGCTAGAATTTGCTGCATGATTTGACATTGTTTTAACACTGTGGATGTTTGTATGTTTCATTGAGCTGTTATGTTCTTGGACTAGAAGAAAAAACAAAAAGTGATGGGCTTATATTGATTTATAACTCTAAACAATTGCCCTTGCTTAAAGATGGCTTATTCTACCCGAATATAGAATTCTAAGACTAGAATAATCTGTTAAAGATTCACCTTTTCTAGGTTGGGTGATGTAGGCATAAACCCCTGCAAATTATTTATTGGAGTTCATTGTATTCTGTTGTTGTTGTTTTTTAATTAAGTAAGGCTTATTTGATTTTCAGTTTATAAAGCCTGACTGATTCAAACTCAGTCTTGTGAATTCTGGCTTATCAGGAACAGCATGCACATCTTAGTTTCTCCTTCTGTAAACAGGAGCATCTAAACACAAATCATAGAGTCTCCAGTGATGGTTATTTTTTCTTATCTGAACCAGGAATTTTGACCAGCAACCTTGTTTTAGACATCACATGGAATAATAGATTTACAAAGTATAGCTTGGGATGTGTACACAGCTCTTAGCTACTTCCTTTGGTATTCCCTCCATCTTTATTCTTGCAAAGCCTGGATCCACTACACCAATGTTCTTAATCTCCAACATCTAACCATGAAAACTGAATCATTATGTGATTGAGTAACCTCAGGCTCCTTCCACACAGCTGTATAAAATTCACATTGAACTGGTTTATATGGCAGTGTGGACTCAGATAATCCAGTTCAAAGCAGATATTGTGGATTATCTGCCTTGATATTCTGGATTATATGAGTATGTAGCCCTCACAGTGTGACAACAGGAGAGTAAAAGCTATGAATATGGAAAAAGGAGATAACATTTGTACTGCACAATGCATAGGAAAACCTGGGGGGAAATACTCTTAGGTGTGTGCATGTGTGTGCCCAGTAAAATTAACAAAGAGTAGTGTTGTAGCCTGGTCAGAGTCTGAGTGCTCAAAGGATGAGGGGGGGGGATGCTGGGATGGAGACTGGAAGATCAGGGTAGAATGGAAGTGGCTTGGAGGGAGTTGTTAGGGATTTTCATGGCAGTTACCAGGCGATGGGAGAAAGCAATATCAGTTTTCATGAGAATCTGATGGAGTTGCAGTCTGACAGGGATGTTGGAGATGAATGTTTTTCCAGCTCAAGCTGCCTTGAACTCTGGAGGCAAAATGTTAAACAAAGACAGACTATGTTTTCTCAGCAGCTTAGAGATAAGGAAATGAAAAGCAAGTGAGTGTGAAGTGATGTCATGGGAGGGATCGAGGTCTTTTAAGTGGTTTCTTGTGATACAATCCTTTGTGAGAGTAACGCTGAATTCAAGAGGAAAACAGCACTCTTAGGTTTTTTTTATGTATCCAAGTTTTCAAGCTTGTTCCTGTTTCTAGTTCCTGTGTGGATTGGGCTGCCTGCATTGGATTCCTGCTATGATGTTTATGGATTAATTATGAAGACTGTGTTTTACATGGATTTTTGACTTTTGATACTCATCTTTTAATAAACTTTATCTTACTGGACTACAGTATTTGGACATAGTGTGGTGTGTGGTGGAAAAGGTAGTTCAGGGCTCAAGTGCAGAAAATATAATATTATTTAAAATGCACAAAATCTTTTCAGACTTCCTCAAAATTAAAGTTTTTTCTCAGATTCATTATATGAGCTCTGTAATCATACCTTCCAACTCAATGATGATTAGGACAATAGTACTATTATAAATTCCTCTGATCAGCAGTGAAAATACCAAAGAAGTGAAGAAACAATAAAAGATGCTGAATGGGATGGAAGTAGAACAGGAAAGTCACTAAGGGAAAGAAAAGCTTGAGTTCACCCAGGAAAAGAAGTGTGGTCTAGAAGAATTTTTGCTGTTAAGAATACTATAGAACTTATGAAATAATGGGCAGATGCAGGCCCGTAGCCAGGATTTCGATTCGGGGAGGGGGGGGCTGAGTTTTTTTCGGGGAGGGCTGAGTCTGAGTGAAAGAGGGTTTACCCTAGCAAACCTTTTGTATCATTACCCCAATACCCCCATGCATATGGGATATATTGAGTATGTTGATCAGATAATGATATGAATAAACATAACAGTTTAAATAATGCACCAGTAAGGCCTTTTCACGAACCACCATGAGAATTTCGGGGGGGGGGGCTGAAGCCCCTCAAGCCCCCCCCCCCCCCCCCGGCTACATGCCTGGGCAGATGGGCCAATTGATGGTCAATATCTTTCATAAACTCTTCAGTATGTCAACAGTTTTTTAGACATTTTGACAATTTGCTGTAGACTTACTTTCTGACATTTTGGATCAACTGTTTCAACTTCTTCAGAAACCTCTGATGCCAAAGGTTTTCTTTTACAGATAAAACCCAGTTGTTCTTCACAGAAATAATCTTGCCAGTATCCATTCTGGACACAGAAAAGTAAAGACATACAAACTATAGTGAGATAGGAACCCTTTTCTTGATACTTTTTTGGACAATTTTTGACGACCTTTATGCCAGTGAAAAGTAATGTACTCAAAGCATTTATGAGCAAGTTAGACAACAGCACAAAATGTTATAACTGTTATGTGTGCACCTCTCTGAAATCTACAGCGCAAACCAAATTCTACATGTTGTGAGTAAACATCATTCTGAGAATTAAATTATTCAAAATGTTCGGATAAAAATGTATGGCAGAGGTATTTTGTGAAGCTTGTGAAGTATTAGCAAATGGCTGCAGTCTGCAGGGAGCAGTAAGTGAAAATACATTTCTATCCTAATTGGGAACTTAAAAGTGGCATGGGGTCATTCAGATTCCTGTAAAATTTTAAAATCTAAATGTCTGGCTTGTATTATAACACATTTTTAAGAAACCCAGCAAAGTCGATTCTTCACCAAGAAATGCCAAATTCTTCAGTCTTTATCAGTCAATCTGTTGTTTTACAGTACAGGCTGGGTATCCCTTATCTGAGATGCTGTAACCTAACCACCCATGATTTCACAGATCATTGGGTTTTTTGCCATCTTAAATAAGGGATGAAGTTTTACTACACCACTTTACTATGGTTGCTCAAATCCCATTTCAGTATCCATGGGGTAACCAAATCCCAGGAGATACTGAGGCCCAACAGTATACATTATTTCTATGGGAGAGTTACCAACTTTCAGTGGGTTCTCAAAGGAAACCATGACCAAAAAGATTAAGAAATTGAACCTGAGGCATGGGAAATATATTTCAGCCCAATAAATAGGGATGCCTTTTTTTACCTCTCCATTCATAATAACACAGTCCTCTTGCACATTATTCTCGTGTGTGGGTTCTCCCCGCTGCCACTTCGTAAATCTTACTGGAGTACCATCACTCCATTCAAAATACATTGCAGTCCTCTGGTCATTCAGTCCAATCCACAGAAGGTCTGTTGGTTCTAAGAACATACATACATGTTTTTTACTTGCTTCCATGCTCAGTCTGAAAAAGCCTGCCTTTTGGACAGGATTGTCTGGTACATAACTCCATGGGTTTATAGTTGCACGAATCAATTAGGTAGTTCATGCAGCTGGATACCTGTATGATTGCTACAAATGAGCAGCACCTAATATTATCTAATAGCCACCTTTTGCTGACCATTATAGGAATAAATGGGCCACTCTATTTAATTCTGTACTATTTTGGATCCTTCGTAAGAATTGCAATAGGGGAATTAACCTTACTATGGGAGCATTTGAGGAAGGCAACTTTCCACTAAACCTCCTCCTCATCTTCCCTTGGGTGAAATGCTTGAGCTCCAAGGATTATCCAGATTGTGGGTTGCTCTTTGGCTGGTTCACATTAGGAAAGTCGCCTAGTCTCCCTTCCAGAGGTCACAGGGCTCAATATAAGGGTGTAACTCCCAGGTCAGCCCCAAGGAAAGTTTATTTCCTCACTCCTCAATCACAGAGCCTAAGGTGGCAGTTCCAGAAGATCTTCTTCACCAAAGGGTGCCATACATGCCCATCAATCTTCAACAACTCCACACATATTCCCTCACACATACACAATATCTGACAAGTGATCGGCTATTAACACACCTCACTTGTCCAATTGTCAGTCTCCAAATCATGGTGTTGGGTAGGCTCAAAAACAATGGAAAGGGGATAAAAATTTCTAATCCGCCCTTAAGATATAAAGGTTGTAATTCTGCAAAAGTCCAAACTACAAATGTGAAGGAACAACTATAATATTTTCATTTTCTCGGGTCAAGAGGGAAGACCAAATATTCCAGAGCCTCAGTAAATTATGCTTACTTGCAATTGAAAAGGGGTCTTTTAAAACTAGTCTACATGTATACACACACACACACACACACACACACTCAATCACATATGAATGAGGACAGAACATTCTAGATATACATACTGTAACCAAGCTGAGAAATCACAAAACTGTATTCTTCAGAGTTGTGTATACTAATTAAATCTCCATCTGCCTTTCTACAAGAGGATAATGCATCCCTCCAGGGCTTAAGTGCTCTGTTAAGATAGTAACAGTAGCCTGCATAGGCTGTCCAGCCACCTTGACATTGAATTGTCTTAAAACCATCTAAAAAGAGAATAATGGAGTTAGGATTAATACATTACTGACAATACAGGTGTCAACATTACATTGTTTATTTATTTATTTATTTATTTACCTTACTTATATACCACTGTTCTCAGCCCGAAGGTGACTCACAGCGGTTCACAACAAATACGAACAGCAAAAATTCAGTGCTACAGTATAGAAACAGTTAACAACCTAACACATTACACAATTAATAAACAGTTACTACAATACCCATTCACTGTCGTCTCGTCATCAAAAACATGTTCCAGATTCGTCATCCATTGTTCCATTCCAGTGTTCATTAACCAATCATTGCACTAATTATTGGAATGCCTGCTCAAACAGCCAGGTCTTCACTTTTTTGCGGAATACCATTAGAGATGGTGCTCCTTTCAGAGATTGTTCTCAAACCTATTCATTTATAGATTATGTTTGTTTGTAATAATTCACTCACTTTGTATCCTATAAAAAGTTCTCAAATTAGCAATTTTTCCATGGAGCTCCTGGCAGGTGGAATGATAATTCTTTATTATCAGACTGATTCTTCCTTTCAAAGCTCCTCTCTTATTTTTTTTACAATTTTCACAGGACATTATTGTTGGAAATAGGAACCTTCCAAACCTCTGCTAATTGTTTCTAAATGTGTATAATTGTTAACCTATATTGTATGTACATCTTGGTTAGCCTGTTTGACTGTACAGTGTTCCCTCACTTATCACGGGTATTATGTTCCAGGACCATCCGTGATAAGTGAAAATCCGTGAAGTAAAGACGTTCCTCTTTCCCCTCCCCTCCTCCTTCCCCACTCATGTGGGGAAGAAAGGAAAGGAAGCAAGCCCTCCTCCTCCTCTCCCCCCCCTTCCCTGCTCATGTGGGGAAGGAAGGTGTAAGGAAGCGTAATCCCACCTAAATGGGATTACCAA